AAAACCGAGGGAAAGAGGCTACGAAGCATTCCTAGAATCCCTGGAGTTCTATTACCTGAGCATTTCACCCAGCTGACGGGGAAGCAGCCAGTTCAGCGTTGCTCAATGATCCTGGGTAAGAAGTTGTGGAAGTCTCCTCCTTTGCACAGGAGGCCGACAGCTTGCTTAAGTTAAGCAGGTCAGGGTCGGGTCAGTGCCTGGGAATCACATGCAGGGTGAATGGGCATGTGGTGGCCAACCTGGTGCTTCCGCTGCCTTTTGCCGCCCACCTCTCCCTGCCCCATCCCATTCTTGACAAGCAGCAGTGGTGCCACATCTGGGAAGGCAGGGCAGGAGCAGCACCCCCAACTCCCACCCAGAAATGTGTGTTTGTGTACTTGCAGTGGGGTGCTTCAGTTGGACTGCATCTTCCTGGCACATGCCCAGTGTATGTTTATAAAGAAAACATCTCCACATGTGGCATTGTCTGCTGCTGCAAATGCCAGCCAATGTGTGGTGAACATGTTCGTCCTGTTTAATGTGTGATTTGACTGCCCTGGTTAGAAACATAGCAAGCTGCTGTACACCGAGCTGGACCGTTGCTCCATTTGGCCTGGTACACAATTCAAAGTGTTGGTGCTGACCTTTAAAGCCTTAAATGGCCTCGGCCTAGTATAGCTGAAGGAGTGTCTCCACCCCAATAGTTCAGCCTGGACACTGAGGTCCAGCTCCAAGGGCCTTCTGGCTGTTTCCTCCCTGCGAGAAGTGAGGTTGCAGGGAACCAGGCAGAGGGCCTTCTCGGTAGTGGCGCCCTCCCATCAGATGTCAAGGAAATAAACAACTATCTGACATTTAGAAGACATCTGAAGGCAGCCCTGTTTAGGGAAGTTTTTAATGTGGCTGATCAGGTGTGGGCTAATTAGCTGCTCTCTCTGGGCAAAGGTCAGAGGGGGCAGGGCTTCTGTTGAGGTAGGTGATTAGCTGTGGGAGGAGCTTATCAGAGCTTTAGGGCAGCAGCTGAAGAAGGAACAAAAAGGGTTTTCTTGTGTGAGTTTCTTGTGGCTGATTAGCTGCTCTCTCTGGGCAAAGGTCAGAGGGGGCAGGGCTTCTGTTGAGGTAGGTGATTAGCTGTGGGAGGAGCTTATCAGAGCTTTAGGGCAGCAGCTGAAGAAGGAACAAAAAGGGTTTTCTTGTGTGAGTTTCTTGTGGCTGATTAGCTGCTCTCTCTGGGCAAAGGTCAGAGGGGGCAGGGCTTCTGTTGAGGTAGGTGATTAGCTGTGGGAGGAGCTTATCAGAGCTTTAGGGCAGCAGCTGAAGAAGGAACAAAAAGGGTTTTCTTGTGTGAGTTTCTTGTGGCTGATTAGCTGCTCTCTCTGGGCAAAGGTCAGAGGGGGCAGGGCTTCTGTTGAGGTAGGTGATTAGCTGTGGGAGGAGCTTATCAGAGCTTTAGGGCAGCGGCGCGCGCCTAGCGGCGCGCGCAGTTTGATCCATATTTTAGATTTAGGGGAGCTAGTCTCAAACATTTGTTGGGGGAGACCTAGGTTTTTTGGGAGGGATTTATTTGTCCTGTCTCCACACTTTTTATGATAGAGGACCACTGTAGTCACCCCCAACGACACGTTCCCAAGATGGAGGGTGAGGGAACAGCTGCAGTCGCCTGTGGTTCCTGCGCAATGTTTGCCATCTTGCCAAAGGTTGCAGGCAGCTTTACCTGCAGCAATTGCATGTTGATTGCCCTCTTAAAAGACAAAGTCCAGCAACTGGAGGAACGTGTAGCTACGCTCCAAAGAATTAGAGAGCTGGAACTCTTCTTGGAAGCAACAGAGCACACCGTCTCCACCAAGGAAGAGACAGGGGACTCCCCTGAGAAGGTGGCTAGTTCACCAACACAGGAGCCAGATATATGGAGAAACGTGACTCAAAGAAGTAGGAGGCCCAGGGTTCGCTCTGATTGTTTAGAAATACGCAATCGCTTTGAGGTCCTTTCCCCTAGCATGGAAGACGAAGAGCAGACTCCATTTGAGGATCTCTCCCTCATTACAGTCGATCAGGTATATGAAGACGAGGAGCAAAGGCAGTCCTCTGGGAATGTCCAGGCGACCTTGGAACCGACAGCTCACAGAAGAACCCCGACCAGACCTAAGAGGAGGCGTGTAGTGGTGATAGGGGATTCCCTACTGAGGGGAACAGAAGCAGTGATCTGTGGGCCTGACAAGATGTCTCGGGAAGTGTGCTGTCTCCCCGGGGCTAAGATCCAAGATGTAACTGAACGACTGCAAGGAATCATAAAACCCACTGACAAATACCCCTTCCTCTTGGTTCATGTGGGAACCAATGACACTGCAAGCAATAGCCTCCAGAAGATCAAAAGAGATTACGAGGCTCTGGGCAGGAAATTGAAGCAATTAAATGCACAAATTGTCATCTCATCTGTCCTCCCAGTTGAACGACGTGGCCCAGGGAGAGAGGGAAAAATAGTGGAAGTGAACAACTGGCTTCGCAAATGGTGCAAACAGGAACGGTTTGGATTCTTAGATCACGGAATGCAGTTTCTTGAAGATGGACTTCTGGCAAGCGATGGGCTGCACCTCACAACGGTTGGGAGGAATGTTTTTGCAAAAAATCTCAGAAACCTCATCAGGAGGGCTTTAAACTGACTAATGTGGGGGAGGGAGACAGTGCTCCTGAAGGTAGGAGTCTATCAATTGATGAAGATGATCATCCAAATGTCATAGACCGAATGGAGCAAAGAGCATGCAGACCTAGTGGTGGGAGGAGAAAATCCTTAAATAAGAGACACGGGGGAATGATTAATGGACTTCAATGTCTGTACACTAATGCGCAAAGCATGGGAAATAAACAAGATGAGCTTGAGCTCCTGGTACAGCAAACTAAATATGACATAATAGGAATCACTGAAACCTGGTGGGATAAATCCCACGATTGGAATGTAATAATGGAGGGATACAATCTATTTCAAAGAAACAGACCAGACAAGAAAGGAGGAGGAGTGGCGTTATATGTCAGGGATGTGTATACCTGTGAAGAGATCCAAGATTTAGAACCTCAAAGCCAAAGTGAGAGCATTTGGGTCAAAATTAAGGGAGAGAAGAATAACAGTGACCTCATTGTGGGAGTTTACTATAGATCCCCAAGCCAAACGGAGGACATAGATGATGCCTTCCTGGAACAGATGGCCAAGCATGCAAAAGGAAGGGAGATAGTAGTAATGGGGGACTTCAATTACCCGGATATTTGTTGGATGTCAAACTCAGCCAAGAGCATAAGGTCAAACAGATTCCTCACTGCCCTTGCAGACAACTTCATTGTCCAGAAAGTGGGAGAAGCAACAAGAGGAACAGCCATTTTAGATCTGGTCCTAACCAATGTTGATGACCTGGTTAGTGGGGTAGAAGTGGAAGGATCATTAGGCGCGAGTGATCATGCTCTTCTGAAGTTTACTATACAGCGGAAAGGAGCAGCCAAGCATACTAGGACTCAATTTCTCGACTTTAAGAAAGCCGACTTCATAAAGCTTAGGGAAGTGCTGGGTGAGATCCCATGGACAGTAATACTAAAAGGAAAGGGAGTTCAAGATGGCTGGGAGTTTGTTAAGAGGGAGATAGTAAAAGCACAACTTCAGGCAATACCAATGAGACGGAAACATGGAAGGTGCCTAAAGAAGCCAGGGTGGCTATCTAAAGAACTTTTAACTGAGTTAAGATTAAAAAAGGATGTGTACAAAAAATGGAAAAGGGGGGAAACCACCAAAGAGGAATTCAAACAAATAGCCAGCACGTGTAGACACAAAGTCAGAAAAGCTAAAGCACAAAATGAACTCAGGCTTGCTAGAGAGGTTAAAAGCAACAAAAAAGGCTTTTATGGGTATGTTCGTAGCAAAAGGAAGAACAAAGAAACCGTGGGGTCACTCAGAGGAGAAGATGGTGAAATGCAAACAGGGGACACAGAAAGGGCTGAACTCCTCAATGCCTTCTTTGCCTCAGTCTTCTCCGATAAAGAAAACAATGCCCGACCTGAAGAATTTGGAGCAAATGATTCAGCAGAGGAAACACAGCCCAGAATAACTAAGGAGATAGTACAAGAATACTTGGCTAGTCTAGATGTATTCAAGTCTCCAGGGCCAGATGAACTGCATCCAAGAGTATTAAAAGAACTGGCAGATGTGATTTCAGAACCACTGGCAGTCATCTTTGAGAATTCCTGGAGAACAGGCGAAGTCCCGGCAGACTGGAGGAGGGCAAATGTTGTCCCTATTTTCAAAAAGGGGAAAAGAGAGGACCCAAATAATTACCGCCCAGTCAGTCTGACATCAATACCAGGGAAGATTCTGGAGCAGATCATTAAGCAAACAGTCTGTGAGCACCTAGAAAGGAATGCTGTGATCACCAATAGTCAGCATGGATTTCTGAAAAATAAGTCATGTCAGACTAACCTGATCTCGTTTTTTGACAGAATTACAAGCCTGGTAGATGAAGGGAACGCAGTGGATGTAGTCTACCTTGATTTCAGCAAGGCATTTGACAAGGTGCCCCATGATATTCTTGTAAAGAAGCTGGTAAAATGCGGTCTTGACTATGCTACCACTCAGTGGATTTGTAACTGGCTGACTGACCGAACCCAAAGGGTGCTCATCAATGGTTCCTCTTCATCCTGGAGAAGAGTGACTAGTGGGGTGCCACAGGGTTCTGTCCTGGGCCCGGTCTTATTCAACATCTTTATCAACGACTTGGATGATGGACTCAAGGGCATCCTGATCAAATTTGCAGATGACACCAAACTGGGAGGGGTGGCTAACACCCCAGAGGACAGGATCACACTTCAAAACGACCTTGACAGATTAGAGAACTGGGCCAAAACAAACAAGATGAATTTTAACAGGGAGAAATGTAAAGTATTGCACTTGGGCAAAAAAAATGAGAGGCACAAATACAAGATGGGTGACACCTGGCTTGAGAGCAGTACATGTGAAAAGGATCTAGGAGTCTTGGTTGACCACAAACTTGACATGAGCCAACAGTGTGACGCGGCAGCTAAAAAAGCCAATGCAATTCTGGGCCTCATCAATAGGAGTATAGCATCTAGATCAAGGGAAGTAATAGTGCCACTGTATTCTGCTCTGGTCAGACCTCACCTGGAGTACTGTGTCCAGTTCTGGGCACCACAGTTCAAGAAGGACACTGACAAACTGGAACGTGTCCAGAGGAGGGCAACCAAAATGGTCAAAGGCCTGGAAATGATGCCTTATGAGGAACGGCTAAGGGAGCTGGGCATGTTTAGCCTGGAGAAGAGGAGGTTAAGGGGTGATATGATAGCCATGTTCAAATATATAAAAGGATGTCACATAGAGGAGGGAGAAAGGCTGTTTTCTGCTGCTCCAGAGAAGCGGACACGGAGCAATGGATCCAAACTACAAGAAAGAAGATTCCACCTAAACATTAGGAAGAACTTCCTGACAGTAAGAGCTGTTCGACAGTGGAATTTGCTGCCAAGGAGTGTGGTGGAGTCTCCTTCTTTGGAGGTCTTTAAGCAGAGGCTTGACAACCATATGTCAGGAGTGCTCTGATGGTGTTTCCTGCTTGGCAGGGGGTTGGACTCGATGGCCCTTGTGGTGTCTTCCAACTCTATGATTCTATGATTCTAATGTCTAATGTTTTATTGTGCTTTTACTATTCTGTTGGGGACCACCCAGAGTGGATGCGGAAACCCAGCCGGATGGGTGGGGTATAAATAATAAATTATTATTAATTATTATTCCTAAACTTCCCTCCACCCCGTGGTCTGCTTGCGAATTGCTGAGGATCTTGGTGGACCACTTAATGATTCTCCTGCCTGTTGCAGTAGTTGTGATGTGCTGTGACAGATGCGGCATGATTTTTAATTGCATTGTTATTGCTGCTTTTATTTCATATGTTGTATTGTATTACAGTGTGAATTCCATAAATACAACATAAAATAAAAATCCATATGGATATTAAATGCACTGTGCCCGCTGTTCACATCTGCTGCTCCCCCTGTTCTTCACAGACACACCATGGGCCACCTGTATGAAGCTTACGGACCACAATTTGTGAACCCCTGGTCTACGTGATTGGTAGCCAACATGACTACCAGTCAGATGTTAACTACAACTCCCAGATGTTAACTACAACTCCCATAACCTTTGGACGTGCTGGCTGGGGCTGATGGGAGTTGTAGTTCACAACCTCTGGAGACTATCAGGTTGGCCACTCTTGATCTACACCAGTGTTTCCCAACCTTGGGTTGCCAGCTGATTTTGTACTACAACTCCCATCCTCCCTAGCTAGCAAGACCAGTGGTCAGGAGTGATGGGAACTGTAGTCCAAAAACAGCTGGAGACCCAAGGTTGGGAAATACTGATTTTTGGGCTGGAGGCTCATCCCAGTGCTACCTGCATATGCTGAACATTGACTCTGGGAATTTTTTTGCAGACAAGACAGGCCCTCTGCTACTGAGCTATGGCCCTTGAGAGTCCATGGGTTATCTGCAAAGCGAGTCCTAGAGTAGACCCACTAACTAACATAGGCCCATTAATTTCAGTGGGTCTACCGTGAGTGGAAACTTGGTTGGCTGTAACCCCCATGTGCCCAGTTTGCTGAGCATCCTCTTGCTTTCCAGACGAGGAGGGCCATGAAGGCCTGACTCAGTTCCTGATCATGGAGGTGAAGAAGATGAGGGCTCAGCGGAGAGCGCAGTTGGAAAAGGAACACGGGCTCCAGGCAAAGAACCGGGCCTTGGAGGAGGAGGGCGCCCAGCTGAAGCAGCAGCTCCAGAAGCTGCAGAAGGTGCAGGAACGTTACCAGAGGTTCCAGGAGGAGTGGGACTCCCACAGCATGGAGCTGCTGAAGCTGAAGGAGGACAACTACATGCTGGCCATGCGCTACACCCACCTGTGCGAGGAGAAGAACGCTGCTGTTCTCCGAAGCCGGGACCTGCAGCTGGGGGTATGGAGAGCAGGGGAGAAGAGAGAGGTGGGGTGTATTGGTGAATGCATGCAGGTGTTAACAGGGCAATGGAAACAGGTGTACACACCCAAGATAAACTAAGGCTGCTTCCGTGTGCCAGGAATCACTGTGTTAATGATGTACTGCCTGCCTGGATGTAGGTGCTTTGGTTTCATTGGCCCCAGCCTGCTAGCCACTCCTTTATAGGGAAATAGGGGAAAGGTGTCTGAAGGCTGGCCAGCGAGCTGCTTGACTGTTGTCTCATATTTGAAGGTTTAAAAAAGTTTCCCCAGAGTAGTGCTTGAGGAAATTAGGCAAAGGAATGCAGCGATTTGGAATGAATGGCTTCTCAGAAACACAGGAGTGTATATACAGTGGTACCTCGGGTTACAGATGCTTCAGGTTACAGCAGCGGCGTAGCGTGGGTTGTCAGCACCCGGGGCAAAGCAAGTAATTTGCGCCCCCTAACCCGTGGATTTGCGCCCCCTAACCTGTGGATTTGCGCCCCCTAACCTGTGGATTTGCCCTAACCCCAGATGTTGCGCCCGGTGCGGCCGGCCCCCCCTGCACCCCCCACGCTACGCCACTGGGTTACAGATACTTCAGGTTACAGACTCTGCTAACCCAGAAATAGTACCTCGGGTTAAGAACTTTGCTTCAGGATGAGAACAGAAATCATGGTGTGGCGGCAGTGGGAGGCCCCATTAGCTAAAGTGGTACTTCAGGTTAAGAACAGTTTCAGGTTAAGAACGGACCTCCAGAACGAATTAAGTTCTTAACCCGAGGTACCACTGTACCCAGAAAGGGAACGCCTTATATTTTCCAAATGACACTATGTGTGTGAACTTTCGTCATGCAGTCAGTTTTGGAGGACTGGTGTCATAAGAGAATATCCAGGCTGCTGTTTTTGAATGAAGGCCAGAGCGTGCATATACTTTAGGAAAAGCCCCAGGTACAAATAAAAGGTTCTGAATTATAGAGAAGTAGCTGTGTTCTCCGGCAAGTCTCACAACACGATAATTCTTAAGCTGATGTTTACTGGGGTAGGGAGCGGTCTGATACCCAGTCAGATTATTTGTCAGTCTTGGACATTTTTGGGATGTAGCCCTTGCTTGCCCTACTCAGAGTAGACCCATTGACGTTGCTAAACGACTAACTCACTGATTTCTATGCGTTTACCTTGAGTATAACTGAGTTGGATACAACCCATTGTGTCTGATCTGGCTGGCAGCAGCTCTCCAGGCCAAGGGTCTATCACAGGCATAGGCAAACTCGGCCCTCCCGCTGTTTGGGGACTACAATTCCCATCATCCCTGACCACTGGTCCTGTTAGCTAGGGATCGTGGGAGTTGTAGTCTCAAAACATCTGGAGGGCCGAGTTTGCCTATGCCTGGTCTATCACCTCACCTGATCCTTTGAACTGGAGGCACCTGGGATTGAACCTTCTTCCTTCTGCATGCAAGGCATATGTCTTACCAGGTATAGCATTTCCTGATGTTCCAAATATTCTCAGCCAGCTTTTTCTAACCTTTCAAGTCCCTCCTTGGGAGTTTTGTATTCTCTTGGGCTCCTCTCAAAGCTCCCCCCCCCCACGCCACTCTCCCCACCAGATCCTCAAAGCTTCAGTTAATCTAGGCATATATATATACACCCTGTTTGCTTTCTGTCTTGTGGTTCCTCTTGTGTTTGTATCCCTCCCCTCTTGTCCTCCCCTTCCTTTTATTATCTCTCCCACTTGTCCCCCTGTACGGCACGGCCACTGTGGAGTAAGCAACTGTCTGCTATTTTGCTCCGTAAAGCCCTATGCATATTGATGACGCCGTAAAAATGATTGATGGCGGCAGTCCTCGCCTTCCTTGGTTAGATCTGAGCCCTGTAGTTACTTTCACATTTGCTCCAGGAAGGCATTAATACGCAGACCATGGCTAAGGCACTTCTTAATCTTCTCTTTAGTGAACTGAAAAGGGGCTTCGTTTGTGTTTATAGCAGAGCATCTTTTCATGTAGGATGCAAGTATCAGAAAGTGAGGGGCTGCCTCTAGGGTACGTTCGTGTATGTCTGCCTTCACTTATTCGCAATGGAAGATGTATATAACATGTCATTCTTCTTGTAGATTATTTTTATTATTTCCACATTTCCCACTCTGTCCCTAAAGGTTCAGGATAGGATGCCAACAGCAATTTAAATTACGATATTTGACATTTTTTATAGTGGCTCACAGTATTCAAAATGCTTCATGTAAAATAATAAATTATTGTTATTGGGAACCAGGCAGAGGGCCTTCTCGGTAGTGGCACCCACCCTGTGGAATGCCCTCCCAGCAGATGTCAAAGAAATAAACAACTGTCTGACGTTTAGAAGACATCTGAAGGCAGCCCTGTTTAGGGAAGTTTTTAATGACTGATGTTTTAATGTATTCTTTTGTTGGAAGCCGTCCAGAGTGGCTGGGGAAACCCAGCCAGATGGGTGTTTAAAAATTATTATTATATCAGTAATTCCCTTAAAACTCCCCAGCTGGGTAAGGTTGGTTTTATCAAATATACCATGGGTAGGGAACTGGATCAGATTGGCAGGTTGGACCCAGAATTCCTTCACCTTCTAAGGGCCACTTTGGCAGCTGGGCAGGGCTACTCACCTGTCAATCAGCCGACATGATATGATGTCAGGTGTTCCAACTTTGAACCTGTAGCTTTCAAGAAGATGCTTCCTTTGCAGCCTCTTTAATTCAAGCTGTGACTGCAAAGAGCCGTCCTTTGTAGCCGTGTCTTGACTTCAAGCTGCGGCTGCAAAGGAAAATCGCTGTAAGTGCACTCCTGATTCTATGTTTCTAGCTGTAATTCTGTACCTTTTGAATGGGGTGTGGTGACCAAAAAAGGTGCCAGCATTAAAAAGCTCTGAAATCTACCGGCAGCTGCAAAACAGGACCTGAGCTGCATCAGTGGTCTTCAAATGCTGACTGTCTAGTGGGAAATAAAGAAAACCAGGTGGATGTGGGGAACAGAATGAAGTGTTGAACCCTGAAGAAGAAGCATTTTTGCACTGCAACATTTTATTGCAAATCCCACTAGTCACCCCCATTTTACAGAAGCGGAGGCTGAGGCTGAAGAGAGGAATTTGCCCCAAATTAGCCCTCTGCTGAGCTCATGGCAGAGTCAGGATATGAGCCTAGCAAAACCAGCCCAGATCTGCAATATCAGTGTTGTTGTTGTTGTTTAGTTGTGTCCGACTCTTCGTGACCCCATGCACCAGAGCACGCCAGGCACTCCTGTCTTCCACTGCCTCCCGCAGTTTGGTCAAACTCATGCTGGTAGCTTCGAGAACACTGTCCAACCATCTTGTTCTCCGTCATCCCCTTCTCCTTGTGCCCTCAATCTTTCCCAACATCAGGGTCTTTTCCAGGGAGTCTTCTCTTCTCATGAGGTGGCCGCAGCAGTTAAAGAAAGCCTCATGCTTATTTGCTGTTGCTAAAACGTGTGTTCATGTGAAATGGTTTAGTGTGTGTGTGTGTGCTCACGAGAGAAATGAAAACTTCTTTATTTGCCCTTCTTGTGATTCATGGGACAGAACGTTGATCTTTTCCACATTTGTTTTAATCAGATAAAGAGTTTGGTGTACTGTGGTTTAAGCATAGTACGTTTCTTGTGTGCTTGTGTGTTATTATGCATGCAAGGCAAGCTTAGGATTTCCCCCTTGTTGCTTAGAATGTAGGTGTGTCATCTGATTGTTTTTTGTGCTCCCAATCACTTCCTAGCTGATGACTCATCAGGAAATTTGTAGGTACTCCAGGTGAGATAAAAACATGAATGGACCTTTAATTGACCTTGTAAGGCCACTTAGGAGATGCTGGTTAGAAAGTGGTTGGAAGCTTAAACGGTTGGGTGATAAAGCCACATCCTAAGGAGTCTTATCATTCCAAATACCTGAAGGAGTTTATGGGGCTGCAGCTTGATCACCTGGCTTTCACCTTGAGCAACTGACATACCTCTTTCCTCTCTCCGAGACAGGAGAGTTTCACTATGAGCTAATCTGTTCTGATCTGATTTTACTTATCTGGAATAACCACAGTGCTGCTTTAGTCTTCTGGTTCCTGGGATTCTTGCCACAGAGCTCTTACTCACTGTTACCCTGCGGTATCATCATCATCTTCATTCCTGGATTTACCTAAAGTACTTCTCCCTGTTTACCTGTATCCTGTACTCCTTCCTGTTTATCTTGCACCACCTCTGCACTTTCTGTCACAGGACTATGGAAAACAATGTGGAATGTGGGTCTAGTGCAGAGATAGCCAATGGGGTCATCTTCCAGTTGTCAAAATACAACTACAGTCAATCCAGCCAACTTGGAACAATGGTCATGGATGGTGGGAGTTGCAGTTCAGCAACAACTGCCGCACTGACTGCCCCATGCCGAGAGAAGGAGAGAGAGAGAGAGAATAACTTGATTGATCCTGCCTAAGTTGGGGTATTTCTGTTTTCATATTAATTTCATTTACAAAGGAGCAAACCCCCTCCTGTTTTTGCAAGCCCCTTTTCCAAAATATATTACATATTTCATAAAAATTTATGTACCACTTGCTTGTTAAAAAAACTCAAAGCGGTTTACAAAAGATAAAATCAAGAAAAAATTGCAAACCTACTTTGTCAGATCAACCTTGGTCTTCTGCTTTGCACCTGAGGCTGTCCAGGCATCTGGCAAGACTCTACTCCTCCCCCAGTTTGGGAAAGGGGAAAGACAGAGCCATTGAATATGAAAAGAAGGCCGGGGGTTGGGAACGAGGAGAATGCCATCCTTATAGGACCCTGATTTTTACTCCAAGGCTATTAGGAATAGCTGATCAGTCCCAATTTCTATCTAATTCTTGGCATTCTTTCTTCTTAATCAGAGATATTGAGTGCATGTCCTAAAAAGAGAGGTGGTTGTTTTGTCATCCTTCTGTTTTGATCTGGAAGCTCTGATCCCGGTCCCCAGAATCGTAGGATGGGTTATGGGGAGAGAAGCTCACTTTGCTCAGATTCATTCATGCTTAGTTCATCCCCTTGTCTTTATTATCACTTGATAGGTTTGAGGGTTTTAGACTGCGGCTTTATAATTTGTAATTACATCGTTTTATGTTTTCAAAGTGTTGTGAACCACTTTGAAGAAGTTAATCCTTCAAAGGCAGCTTGCCAACCAACCAACCAACCAACCAACCAACCAATCAATCAATCAATCAAATCAATCAAATCAGTAAAGAAAAGAAAAGAAAAGAAAAGAAAAGGGGATTGAGCGGCTGTGGCCTTTGTTTCCTATATTTCAGGTAGACCAGATGAAATGCAAGGTCAGCAGCCTGGAAGAAGAATGCTCCCTACTTAGGAAGCAGGCATTGGCAGCTCCCCAGAGAGACATGGAGGATCGTGGCCTTGCTGACACTATTTGTGAGTTGCGAGCAGAGAACCAGAGACTGATAGCTTCGCTTCAGGAGCTGCAGAGCAGGCTGCAGGTACTTGCTGAAAATGTTTAATGCTAACCCGTGGAGGGGCTGTACTGAATTGCATCTAATGTCTCACCGCTGAAACTTGAGCTTCTCCTGGATGGTAAGAGCCAGCCTCTGCGTGCAGGAAGTTCTTCTCGGTCCAGCAATGTCTTCTCCAGTCTGACGGGGATACCTCAAAGGCAGAGCATATGGTTTGAATGTGGAAGGTCCCAGGAAAATTAAAATACGCAGCCCTGCTGGATCATCTGGTTCTCCCAGTGGCCAACCAGATGCCTGCAAGAAGCCTGCCAGCAGGACCTGAGGGCAACCTGAAGATCAAAAGGGCCTGGGACAGTCGGTATAGTTCAGGATGGGGAAAAACAGTTGCTGGACTACAGCTCCCATCATCCCTGACCTTTGGCCATGTTGGCTGTGGCTGATGGGAGCTGGAGTCTTAACAACACCTGGAGGTGGTGCAGAAGGTATATGTTTGTGGGATGCAGGCTGCTGGGAGGTCTGGTTCAAGACAGCTGCCCATCACAGTGCTTTAGCCTCATCTCTGTTGCCTCTACCTCTCTCTGCTATCTAGCTAGATGTTTGATTTTACATGTGGCCCTCCAACAAGCGAAGGTTTGGACACCAGCAAGGCTGCCCTATTCTCATTGCTGCGGTGCCTTGCCTTTTTGTGAACCTTTGTTTTCCCCTGCCCCAAATAAACCGTTTTCAAAGCTCCTAATTTCACTTTTGTGTTGCTGGAGCTTGCACCGCCCACGATTCGTTTCGAAAGAGAAAATGTGCTGAACTGACAAATCTCCTGCAGCAAAGCTGGTCCCTGACGCTGCATCCAAGGCGACCACAATGCTTCTCATGGAGGATGGAGCTCAGTGCCCCTGTTGCTAGATCACGGCTCTAGCGCTAGTAAAATGCTAAGAGGAATAAAATCTATTTAAAAGAAAGGCATCTAGTGATGGCTTAGAGATGTAGGTAGAATACCAATGGGTGGTTTGAACAGCTGTGACTGTTTAGGAGATGAAAGCTGCCTGTTGATATCTGGGTTACAAAATCTTAACCCACGGATAGTATGTGAACACATTATTTTACCGTTTCCCCCTGTTTTGTTTAAAAAAAGGTATCCTGCATCACAGACCTCTTATCTCTCCACCCTAAATGCTGTTTGTACGACCTTATATCACGATACACAGCTTATTTGCAAAACCTGGAGAAAAATGTTTAAAACACATTTTCAGTTTGAGATTATTTCCAATCCCCCAGCCCCCAAAGAAGAAAGGTTTAACCAGGAGAGGACATAATTTAACTTGGGGATGTGAAAATAAATTGATTGGTGAGGAGGCAGCATCTGGATAGAATCAGTTCGTTATATAAATCTATTACATGCTCAGCAAAATGTTGATATTGCCATTTAAAACTGTGTAATTTAAACTTGGAGTGGTTTAAGAACAGGGCCCATAAAGCATGAAATTATAAGGTTCTTATCTTGGAAGACGTGACCCCATCTTTCCGTGTTCCTAATGAACCGTAAAGCATTGCTTAGTTACGACATTTCGACATTACAGCTTCAATCATTCACAGTTTGGTTCTTTAGTTTGAGATGGAGGGTATATTTTCCATTCAGTATCTTGGATATCCCTACCGGCATGTTACGTGCAAACAGAGCTAACATGTGAACCAGCTGATAGGGCACACCCACCCTGCAGACCTCCCATCATTCCTTTCCCCAGGAAACCTTGGGATTTGTAGTTCTGTGAGGGGGTGGATACGGAGTCACCAAACTAGAATTCCCAGCATTGAGAACATAAGAAGAGCCTGCCAGATCTAGGCCAGCATCCTGCATAAAAAATGGTGTGGAGTTTGTATTGTAAACTCTAGGCCAGCATCCTGCATAAAAAATGGTGTGGAGTTTGTATTGTATTGTATTGCAGTTTGTGGTGGGGGAAATTATAAAACAAAAAAAGTATATATAGATGACATATATTCCCCAGTGGGGGATACTGAAAACAGCCACCCTGCAAGTGTTGACTGGTGTTTCTCTCTCTGTCCATCATGCTATCCCTAATTCTGCTCATCCCACCAGACAGGTGATTCTGCATTTCTGTCACTTAGGTAGCAGGTGAAGGTCCAGTCCCAGGCTCTGAGAGGATCCTTCTAGACATTCTGGAGCACGACTGGAAGGAAGCGCAAGCAGACCGGCAGGAACTGTGCCAGAAACTGGACTCTGTGCAAAATGAGCTGCAGTGGGCCGAGGAGCTGAGAGATAAGGTCAGTTGCCCCTTCCCTGGGCATCTGTTTTGGGGGAAGCTTTGATGCAGTTGTGGTCTGAATGCATTCAGTTGTTAATAATGTCTCAGCCAGATTTCGCAGGGCCCTTCACCAAGTTGCTCTCAAGAGTCACCGTTCTCTAAGTGGGTCCCCTCCTCGCTATGGCTCTTTTGCTTCCCCTTCTCTCTGGCCGCAGCCCAGTCTGCTTCACAGAAACAGCTGCCTGATACCAAGACAGGCCATAGCATCATCTAGCTCAGTGTTGTCCATAGTGGCAGCAGCTCTGCAGGGTTTCAGACAGGGGTCTCATCGTCAGCTGTACCAGAGATGCTTGAGATTGAACCTGGGACCATCTGCATGCAAAGCTGATCTTCTGCCCCTGTGCCATGGCCCTTCTTGGGCTTCACTGCCCGGAAGGAGAGGGCAAGATGAGTGGATGCTGCTGACCGCCCCTTCCTTTGCTCTTGCCGCTGCTCACTTGCTTGGAGAGGGGAAGGTGAACAAGCAGAGGTAGCCAGGAAGAAGAGGAACAGGACCAAAGTGCTGACACCGGGTATGGCTCTTGGCAGCTGCCCATCAATGCTGACTGCTGACATTGGCCCTGTTCAAAGCTACTACCACGAAGCCAGGCTCTCTATCCCATTAGCTGGTGTATGTTGAGCTGTGTGTGCTTGCAAAGAGGTGACAATAAATATTTGCACATGCATCCTTCTTTTTTTCCACTTGATGTGTTACAGATCTGGTTGCACAGGTTGCAGGTCTAAACCTGCAGCAGTTTTAAGCCCTAAATATATTCCTTGAAAATGTAACCCTCTGGATTCTCTCACCTCCCCCATCCCACCTCTCCAGTATCTGCAAGATAAGGAAGATCTCCAGCTGAAGCACCAAACTCTGCAGAAGAACTGTGACCTGTACAAACACAGAATGAATACCGTGCTGGCTCAGTTAGAGGAGATCGAGAAGGAAAGAGATCAGGTGAGCTGCTTCTTTAAGGCAGTCTCCCCCTTATGCTAGAAGCAAGGGTCCCTGATAGAATCCCTCTACTGTCATTCTGGGTTGCTAGGTGAGGACGAGTGGTACGGATGTAGTTAGTCATGAGAATCAAGAAGCCAAAATGGAAGGAATGGACCTAGTCAAGAGAGCAAGCATGCTAAGAAAAGAATTTGGAAGCAGAGGAGGTCAACCGAGATGGATACCTTTTTGGTGGCTTCCTTGTCTCCTTAGTCCTATGTCACCATATAAGGCAGTGGCTGAAAAGCTCCTCACTGCATTGGGCCACAGTGGAGAGAACCTGTGGCCCACCTGTTGTTGAACTCCAGCTCCTATCATTCTTAACTATTGGCCATGCTGGTTGTGGCTGATGGGAATTGGGAGTCCACCAGTATCTTTAGGGCAGCAGTGTCCAGTGAGAAGGTGCTCCCATTAGAAGCTGTCATGCGGAGGACGCCCCCCCCCATTCCTGAAGCTGCAGGGAGTTGAGGATTTGTACCCTACCTGCCAAGTGTGAGCCTTGCCGTACCTGTCTGCGATTTGTAGTCCGTAAGTGTGGGATATGATACTAAGCTCCACAGCTCAGCATCTGGGGAAACCCAAAATTTCTCTAGAAAGCAGGGTCTCTAGTCCTTAAGACACTAACACATACAGATGGCACCTGGTTGGCAGAAGAGGACCTTGTGGTAGCCAAGGGTGGGACATTATTGTTCCTGGTAACTCATTGACCCCGTCCCTTGGCTATGGAAAGCAGAACCGATAAGCTGTGCAAGATAAACAGAGGCATGCAGAGTTGCTTAATTTGTATACTCCATTACAGTATACAAAAAACAAAATCAGAAGAAAGCGTCTGCCTGCATGCAATCCCACCTTCCCAAGGTATGTCAACCACCCCCCACCTGGAATGTGTTTTGTTTCAGGCAATCCAGAGCCGAGATGGCGTTCAGCTGCAATACTCCCAAATCCTCATTGAGAAGGACCAGTACCGCAGGCGTGTCCGGGCCTTGGAGGAAGAGAGGGACGAGCTGCTGGGCAGACTCACAGAGGCCGAGGGCAAGATTGGCACCCTTGAGGCTCAGGTGCAGCGATGCCATTGCACCAGGGGCCTAGGCAAGAAGGTGCGTTTTGAAAAGAGGAGAAAGCTTTTGGGCAGAAAGGAAGGGGAGAAGGTGGATATTTTGGAAGGAGGGAAGGCGCGGCAGCTTAGACTTGAGTGGAAGAAAGTTAGGAGGGAAGGACAGAATTCCTTGCACGTTAAGGGGATGGGCTGAAGGTAAACTAGCAGCCGAGAATTCATCAAGCTCTTGGTTTGTTACTTAGGCCCTCAGCTGCAAACTTGCAGTTTTACCAGCTGTCCATCTTCAAATTCAAGTGGGTCTTTCCTGCTTTTCTTCTATGGAGCTTGATCTGGCAGGCCTGGGTTTCCAAGGTGGTCTCCCATCCAGGCCTTAACTCGAGCCACACCTGCTTTGCTTCAGCAAGGTAGCTGAATCATGCACCTTCATGCCACAACCTGGGAGGGACCCTGCTGTGTTGTGAAGCACATGTCATAATAAAGTAGGCCATGAGTATGTGCCGTGTACATCTATAGTGGAAGCTTTCCTACCATTCAGTAACAGAATAGCTCTGCTTGCAGCTCCACCTGCCCAAGATAGACAAACAATAGCTCAAGAGTATGGGCAGGGGTACCTTTACCTTTTTATTGAAGATGGTGTGATTGCAGGGAGCCTCATTACCTGTGGTAATATTTTTGAACCATATATTTTTGAACCACACAATATTTTTGAACATATATTTTTAAACCACACAAGCCTGTGTGTGTTTACTCAGAAGTAAGCCCAATTGTTTTCATTAGGGCTTACTGCTAAGTAAATGAGCATAGGAGTGCAGCCTTTGTGTTGGTTAACCTCAGTTGTGCAGTCTTGTGGTGCAGTTAACCTTTGAAGTGGCTCATGGTCAGAGGTGTTGTGGCCTTATCTAATGGCCTGTCCTCTGTCCCCTGCTAGAATCACTGCAGGAAGTGCAGCTTGGAGAGGGCAGCTTCTAGCCAAGTTTCAACAGCACCACCTCTCTCGTTGAGGAGCTGACCCCTGAGACATCTTTTGCTTTTCCACCCTGCAGATGTGTTCCTCCTCCCATTCGCTCTGCTCCATCCTAAGCAGCACTTGGAGCATGGTAGAGAAGCCTCCATCGCTGGAGGGTGGAGTGGTCGATACGCCAGGTGTCTTGGACGTTGTCTTCCCTGATGACTGTATAAGCCAGAACGGGGTAAGAGGGGGGTTGGATAAAGCCAGAATGTAGTAGAACTCATGCCTTGCATGTAGAAGTTTCCCAGATTCAATCTCTGGCATCTCCAGTTAAAAAGAATCAAGTAGTCTAGGGATGCGGGTGGCGCTGTGGGTTAAACCACAGAGCCTAGGACTTGCCAATCAGAAGGTCGGTGGTTCGAATCCCCGGGATGGGGTGAGCTCCTGTTGCTCGGTCCCTGCTCCTACCAACCTAGCAGTTCGAAAGTGCAAATTGCAAGTAGATAAATAGGTACCGCTCCGGTGGGAAGGTAAATGGTGTTTCCGTGCGCTGCTCTGGTTTGCCAGAAGCGGCTTAGTCATGCTGGCCACATGACCTGGAAGCTGTACGCTGGCTCCCTCGGCCAAGAAAGCGAGATGAGCGCCGCAACCCCAGAGTCAGCCACGACTGAACATAATGGTCAGGGGTTCCTTCACCTTTAATCTTGGTAGGGCTGGACAATATATCAATACATCATCCAAAAGCTGTTTGAAAGTCCATATTGTGATAATCGGTTTCATTATTTTTGACCTGGCAATATATTTTGAATCTTGATGTGTATGTGTGCTATGCAAAAATTACAATGTGCGGAACACCGTGAAGCCAGCCAAAGTTTCTCTCAATTCCTGCAGCCCCTTTAACTTAGCCAGCTCAGCTCTCCCCCGCCTCCTGTAGGGGCCAGCGAATCACAAGAGCAGGCGCTGGCAAAAATCACTATGCAGGGGAAAACATGAAGCTAACCATCCTCATTTCAGACACTGTGATATAGCTCCATCCTCATTTCAGACACTGTGATATATTGGTATGTAGCTGGTGATATATCACAATGTTGAAAACCAGATGTTGCCCAGTCCTAAGTCCTGGTGGGAAAGACCCCTCCCTGGGACCCCAGAGAGCTGTGGTCAGTCTGAGGAGACAACGCAGTCCTAGCTGGGCCAATGCTCTGACTTGGAATGAGGCAATTTTCCTCTGTTCCTAAGAGTTTAGGCAGCTGTTTCACTGTTTTGCAGAGCAGTGGGTGTGGATGTAACCTTTGTACGCTAGGCTAGTTTCTGCACACTCCCTTGTTTATCCGGAGTTCAAGAACATATTCCAGTCAGGCTGAAAAACACTAAATGAGAGTGTGAAGCAGCAGCTGGGAAGTTTATACAGTCTAAGAAGAGTCTCAAGGGCCAGGCAGGAAGGCTTGGAGGGCTGCATTCGGCCCCTGGGCCCGAGGTTCCCTGCCCCTGCTAGAACTCCTGCATTGCAGGGGGTTGGACTAGATGATCCTTGGGGTCCCTTCCAGCTCTACAATTCTATGATTCAAACTCTTCAACCCACAACCCAAATGGTGGTGCAACTCTGCCCTTCATGCTACCTGTTCTAACATGCACCCCCCATCCAACCCCCCCCCATAGGCTTTCTCCTCATACACAAACTTATACAGTGGATGCTCAGGTTGCGAACGTGATCCGTGCGGGATGCACGTTCGCAACCCGCGTCTGCGCACGTGCGGGTTGCGATTTGGCGCTTCTGTGCATGCGCGACCACCGAAACCTGGAAGTAACCTTTTCTGGTACTTCCGGGTTTCGGCGGTCCGCAACCCGAAGAAACGCAACCTGAAGTGGCAGTAACCCGAGGTATGACTGTACACACACTTCATTTACAGTTTACTAGGTTTTAATCTCGCTGATGAACAGTGAGACAAGGAAGTTTGTGGTGCGTGTGGCGTTTTGGCTTTCAGGTCTTTTCTCCCCTCTCCTTAGGAAGTGACTCCAGAGCGCGAGAGAGAAATAAACCGCCTTTCCATCTTCCCCTTCCCCCCCTGCACTGGCTCCATTCTTCGGCGGCAGCGTGAGGACGGACCCACCCCCATCAAGAGGTGACACTTGGAATCCCAGCGCAATGGCACTCTCTCTTACATGTTGGTGTCTTCAGCCTCAGGCAAAGCCTCAAGGGATTTTTTTAAAGCATTGAACTTGAATGCTTTAAAATCCCAGTTCTTCCCCTTCTCCAAGTCTCCAGCTTCTTAAGGGGGTGGGGGAGAAGGAGGGAGGTAGAATCTGTGTAGGAGGGCAGGAGAGCAGCCATATAGGGCTTTTCATTGGACGTGATGATGCTCTTTTCATAGTTTCCCGTCACGGATCCCAGACTCTTATCCCTTTTCTGCTCTCCTACTGTCCTGGTTCCTGGACATAAAGCTTTTTTTAAAGGTGGGGCTGGTATGGAGAGCAAGGAGGCAGTGAAGGGGGGAGGGACAAACCCCATTTTGAGTTGAGTGCAGCTTGAAAAGGGGTGGATCTGACTCCAAATGCAGCCAGCCTTCTTTCAGCAGGAGAAGATTCCCTTTCAAACTTTCCCCTCCCCATGTCTACATGGGACAGGAACTGACAGGCAGGTAGAAAGAAAAAGGGCAGGACCTGAGACCTTGTGGTCTGTGCATGCTGTAGGGTGCAAGGGGGTGGCAGGCAGCAAATGTGGAAGACCTAAGAGGTTTTCATTGCAGCTAGGTAGAGATACGGGTGCACCGTTACAGTAGATCGCAGGGATAAATGACTGACTGCAAGGGAGGAAAGGTGGGGTGAATTGAATATGCCCTCTCCAGAGAAAGTGGGGCATCTTTTTGGGTAGGACCAGATGATGTCTGTGTGCCGGAGGATGGATGAGCAGCTGTCATTTATGAGAAGGGATGCAAAAGCTGGCTCTAGGGCTGCATCTATGAGCATCTCTGCAATGAACAGCCCTGGAAGTGGCTTGATGGTGCTGCAGGCAGTCCCACCTAATGTAGCTAAGCCTGTTTTGCCCTAGGCCAGTACTTGGAACGGCTGACTGTTCAGGAACCTCGTGCAACCCACCCTGAGCTGTTTGGAGACAGGGAAGGATCCAAATGCAACAAAAGACATCTAGAGAAAACTGGAGAAAGGTGGAGGGATGGTTTTGATGTTTGTATGCCTTTGAATTAATCCCTTCTGTGTTTCCTTTGTGCTTTTAGTTGGTCCTGTGGGTCCTTTGGCAGCTTGGAAGACTTAACAGGTATTGCCAATCCTTCTCCTGCCCCCACCCCCCGCGTTACAGAGCCTCTCTTCTTGAGAGCTGTGGGCTCCCCCCTGCCAAATCAGCTGCTTGCCCGTGTGCCCACGAGGGGGCACCCTTGCCCCACACTTCCCCTGCCAGCTCTTGGGATCCGCCTCCAGGGTCTCGCCAGCACATCGTTCTGAGGCTATTCCGGTCTGGTGTGTTTAATTTACAGCGGGTTTTTGTTTGACAGTGAATTTGATTCAGTTTCAGAGGAGTGGGAACCGGAAGAGATAAATGCTTCAGCTTCAGGTTGTTATCGGTTCTTGGTGACAGGCTGTAAATCTCCCAACGCCTGTCCCACTGTATATCTCAGGCCTTGGCTAGATTGTGGAGTTTTCTACCAACGTGACTCCTTGGGGCAATTGGCCCGTGTGCAAAGAGTGTCTGGCTTCTGCAGTCGGAGGCTTTGGAAAGTGTGGAGATTTGCCCAGAGTCCACTCCAACATACTCGGGGAATCCACTCCTGGATTTGCCCTGGTGCCTCCTTTTATGGGCATTTGGAAGAATCCAATCTAGGTATCGGTGGAGTACAGCTGACCATCCTTTCGCCTGCCTGCCACTCTGCTTGATACACTGCTCTCCAGAACTTATATACGGAAAGGTCTCTTCTGAGATTCCTCTAGCTCAGGTGTGTGTTTGTGGGGGGACCTTTTTTCAGCCCAAGAACTGCATGAAGAAAGAGGCACAGGACCAGAGGCAAAGCACTGAATGTAGGTTAACATCCACAACACACAAAAGCCAGAGGTTCCCCCAGTTCTCCATTCAGGCAAGCTTGGATACATAACCACAGTTTGGGGACACATTCCAGCCAGGCGAAAGGAGGGTGTGCAACAGGGCCACCGAGGGGGCGTGGCTTGCAAAGGAGGTGTGGCCTAGGAAGAGTCCTGAGGGTCGGAGAGGGAGGCATGCAGCCCCTATCCTGAGCTTTCACTGCCCTTACTCTAGCTGTCTGGGATTTGCTTTTCTCCGCAGCTGTCCGTTGCGCAACTGAGCTGGTGTTAAGTGACCTAATAACTTTGTTGAGGGCGGGGTTGTGTGAATCCTAACCTACATGGCCAGCTGCCCATGTAGCTGGATCATTTAAATGCGGCTCTGGAGCTTGGGGTTTCCCCGGCCCAATGACTTCAATGCCTTTCAGATGAAATGTACTTATGAATCCTTGCATGTTGCCCATGGTAACTTGTTGTTGTTTTCTCTCTCTCTCTCTCTCTCTCTCTCTCTCTCTCTCAGGAAGTGCCATCAACACTCCTTCATCTGCCAGATCCCGTTCCTCTTCCAGCAGTGCCTACACCAGGGCAAAGTCAGAAATCTGCTTGTCTAGAACCTCTGTCAAGCAGGACTTCTCCAGGAGGTCTGTTTCCCTTTCTCAAACAAACACTCCTGCCTCCCTGATGGTTTGGAGAGGCAGCCCTATGAATGCAGGCATCCTAGGTGGGGCAGCCACGCTGGGGAACTCTGTGAGGTCTATGCCCGCAGTTGAATGGCATCCGTTTCCAGGACTCATCCCTCTCGGCTGGAAAGGGGGAAAGAGGGTGGTCCCCGGGCGTGCCTGGCCTTAAATAGGCTAGACCCCACCTCCCCGGCCCGCTGATTGGCAAGCCGGGTCGAAGACACGCCCAGGGATTCCCTGTTCGCGCAGGGGTAAGGGCCAGCCCCCGCGTGTGTGTGGGAGGGATTAGCCCGCAACCCCCTCTCCTCCCAGGTCGGAAATGGCTTTCCAGGACTCATCTCCTCTCCCTGCTACTGGGTCCTTCAACCATTGCTGCTTCTTCCACTGCTTCACCTGGTTGTGAAGACAGGAACATGTAAAGCTGCCTTTTATAGACTTGTTGGTCCATTTACTCCACCAGTGCCTGCTCTGAGTTCTAACGCATGAAGAGCCCAAGTCCAGCATACTGTTCTCAACCAGAAGCTGTGGTTCTTCCAAAAGTTGTTGGACTCCCAATTCCAATGAGCTAGAATGGCCAGTAAGACAGAGATTATGGGATTTGTAGTCCAAGCAACATCTAGAGGGCCACAGGTCCATCCCAGCCGCATATCCTGCTCAGCAAAACAGAGAATGAGAGGTACCAGAGTCTAAGTCCGTGCTGTCTTCCTTCCCCATTCAGGTCTGTTGTGGTGCATCTGCCTCACACAGGGCCCATGGATGTCCCAGCGCCCCAGAGCAGCGGACTGTCTGGGGACATCTCCATCCTTGGAGGAAACACAACTGGGATTTATGTCCAGTGGGTGAGGCCAGGCTCAGAAGCGGAGTGCGTGGGGCTCAGAGAGGGATGCCGACTCCTAGAGGTATGAATGAGTGTTTGGAATTGCAGATAATGTCGGAGTGGGAAGAGTTATAAGGAAGTGGCATGGGGGGGGGGGGAACTGCAGTAATAAACCAAAAGGTGACTCCCCTTGTTTGTCTCTCGGTTAGTCAGATGTACAATGCAGAATGACACCTAGTGGCTGAATTCTTTATTGCAAATGTCTTACTTCAGACATTAAGCGGCTGCCTAGTTACTTTTGCACGGGTCCCCTCATACTTTTGCACAAGTCCTGCAATGGAGATGTCATTTACACCCATGCGTAACTAAACCTGGCACCAGGTCATAAGTGGTTTATTTGCATAAATCCCCCCCCAATGGAGGATGGTGCTGATATGTGGATGTGGGCTTGGTCCTTTTCAAGACTATACTAATTATACTTCACATCTAATTTAACCTTTTCAAGCAATCAAGGTGGTTAGGGAGGGATGTAACTTGGTGACAGAGACATGCTTTCCATGGAAAAAAGTTCCAGGTTCGATTCTCAGTATCTTCAGACAGGACTGGGAAATATTCCTGTCTGAAACCCTGGAGAACCAATGAAAGTTTGTGCAAGCCCCACTGACAGGTGGGGAGCCTGTGGCATGGTGCTCCAGGTGTCAATGGACTCCAGCTCCCATCAGCCCTAGCCAGCAGAGTCTGATGGACAGGGATTGTGGGAATTGTAGTCCAGCGATATCTTTAGTGTAGGGAATACTGAGCCAGGTGGAGCGACGGTCTGACTAGGTACAAGGCGGCATTCAGTGTTCCCAAAACACTTCATATACATTACCTCTTGGTCCTTCTTGCAACAGCTGGGTAGTTGCTGTCAAGTATTGCTGTTGTTCCCATTTTGCAGATAGAAATCTGAAAGAGAGGCTTGCCTAACAAGTTCATGGTAGAGGCAAGATTCAAACCTAGGATATCCTGAGTCCCAGCTCTTAAGTCTTTTACCCACCAGGCTACACCAACTACCAAAAGATTGGGCATCCTTCTTAGTTTCTGAATCTGATTTGCACACCTGTGCCCACTTAAATGCCCGACTCCCATCGCCTGCCCTAGCAATGCTGGGGAGCCTTTTTCAGTGCAAAGGTTGCATTTCCCTCTGCGCCACCTTCCATGGGCCATGTGCTCGTGGTGGGAGGGGCCAGAAGCAAAGCAGGCGGAGCAATATATGCAGATTTTACTTTTGTTAGACAGGCTAGTTTCACACAGCTCTGATCTATCCTCCATCCAGGCAAGCAAGCAAGAGGCATTAGCAGAGTTAACGGACATATTCCAGCCAGGCAAAAATGCTCAAGGAGGGTGTGACTGGGGAGAGTCTCAAGGGCCAAGCTAGGCCTAGGGTTTCCCCCCTTTCTTCTATTGCTGCTCTTAATGTCAGTCCATGTGCTACCCTAGTGGCTGATATTCCTCTAGGCTGCAACAGCTAGCTTCCTTTGTTCCTGATTCTCCCCAGAAGTTGTGCTGTTCCCCAGCATTTACATGGACATTGGGGTGAATGTGCATAGGCCACAAGTCCACCTCTGAACAGAGTGGCCTGGAGCCTGTTTCAGTAGCTCTGGAAAGTTCTTCTTCAGTTTAGGATCTCCCAATTCCCTGCACCCCTTCTTTGAAGAAAGATCAAAGAATCCAACAGCAGCCTGTTTTTTCAGATCTCCTGTCCCCGGGAAGCCTGCTATCAAGCGTGCATTAACAGCCTACAGCTTGCTTGCTTGCTTGTTTTGTTTTAAAGATTGCAGAGGGGATGGATGGAGAGGTAGCAGCACGGTTCTTTTTCTTTTTCTAAAGTCCAGATTATTATTATTTTTTTACAAAGCTAATTATAACTGATCCCTGCATCTCTCCTCTGTGTGTGTTTCTGCGGCAGCTTAGGGGTCCGCTGCTAAACGGGGAAGTGCTCTCTCTGGAGAACTGCACCCTGGAAGTAGCTTACCTGAGTCTGCTGCACTGGGATGATCCATCTGCTCTGCTTTTCCTCCCTGATATGAGAGGTAAGCCACTTTTACCCAATCCTGCATATGTGATTGTTCTGTCCTTAACTAATCTGGACAGTCAAGGCTGTGGGTCTGTTGCACAGCTGTGATGCTGCTGCAGAAACATTTTAGCTGAATATCTGGCCTAGGGTGCTGCCACTTTTCAAGTTTTGATTTATTTAGAAGAAGTAAGCACAAACCAAGTTTCTAGTCCCTGTGGCTATGGAATGATATCTTAGAACCCTTAGATCACACGAGACCTGCAGTTAGCCAAGAGTGGCAATTCAGTGCAGTGCCCCTGTTGTAGCTCTATGCTTTTCTTTTGCAATACTTGAAGTATATACCACACCGTTCATTTAGGGTGTCATATAGGTTGCCATAAGGGACGCGGGTGGCGCTGTGGGTAAAAGCCTCAGTGCCTAGGACTTGCCGATCGAAAGGTCGGCGGTTCGAATCCCCGCGGCGGGGTGCGCTCCCGTTGCTCGGTCCCAGTGCCTGCCAACCTAGCAGTTCGAAAGCACCCCCGGGTGCAAGTAGATAAATAGGGACCGCTTACTGGCGGGAAGGTAAACGGCATTTCCGTGTGTGCTGCGCTGGCTCGCCAGATGCAGCTTTGTCACGCTGGCCACCTGACCCGGAAGGTTCTCCGGACAGCGCTGGCCCCCGGCCTCTTGAGTGAGATGGGCACACAACCCTAGAGTCGGACACGACTGGCCTGTACGGGCAGGGGTACCTTTACTTTATAGGTTGCCATGCTGGGACAGATTTCCCATTGCTGCTGCGAGTCTCTGGTATCCCATGGCTTTTTAATTTGCATGTACAGCTTTAAGGATTACCCTTGCAGTGATAAGAGCCCCTGATTTTAATTTAAGTCACCCAGATGGAACTTGTCCAAAATCTGGCCAGCTCAAGCCAGACTCCCCACTAGCTTGGATTCAGATCATGGGAGTTAGTGCCTGGGGGGCAGTTTGGGTTGGAAGCCCAGATGCCTCTCTTCCCTTTGAGTAGCAGGGCCGTTATGGAGCCCCCTCTCCATAATCAGCTCTCTCTTTATAATCAGCATCTTTAAACTAGTGCTTCTTTTACATACCTCACTTTAGAGGACTTCTCCAAGCAGCCTTGTCACAATGCTGGAATTGCAGAGTCCCGTGCAAAAGAGCAAGGAGAGGGGACCAGCCACTGATTCTTCCTGTTGCTCATTTTTTGGAGTAAGGCAGTGTTGTCCTGCTCTCATGCTGATCAGTAACAGGATACAGAAGTTCTCTCTCAAATGCTTTTTTGAACACCATGTTCACAGGAGGGGTAGGAGGAGTAGAGGGGCCACTTATTGGGCCTCCTAAGTCACACCTGCTTATCTGATGTTGGATACATGAGGCTTCTAGATCTCCCATCTTTCCCCCCCTTTTTTTCTTTGGAGCTCCTGCGAGTTCCTAATTTTATGTGGAACATTTTCCCTTTTACACAGAATTTGAAGACCTCTATCTATCATTGCCCTCTCTCGTGTGACTTTTTCTGTACACTTTACATAATGCATCATCGCGATGAGCTCCATCAGGTTCCTTCCTCCATCAACAATAACTTGGAGACATCCGCTCCACTGAGCTCCAGCTGTTGGAGGGAAAGCAAGCAGGGCACTCCATCCATCTGCTCTGCCGAGAGACCAGCAACTCATGGCTCCTCCTCCTCTCCTTGGAACTCTTTTCATTCTAGCTGGTCATTACAAGAGCTTCCTTACAACAACTTGTTCCTTATCTGCAAAACCCAAACAAAAACCAAGTGTGGAGGGGCCCTTTGTTACAAGACCGTGCCTGATTTTGCTTTTTTCCTCCTCCTCCCTCCCTGTCACTTTTCCTTTGGTGCTGTGTCATTTAGATTGTAAGCCTGAAGGCAGGGACTGTATTGATGTTTGTGAGCTTCTCCTTTTGTTTTCCTGAAGAGGATGGCAAACCATGCTTTGGATCAAAAACGAATGCATTTATTTGCGTCTCTCAACTGCTATTTGCTGTCTCTTCTGCATGCTAGAGGCTGTACTGGTGGTGGAGGGGAGAGCAGCAACAACAAGAGAGACCTGCTGCTTCCATGCCTGGCTTGTGAGCTACCTGGTTGGCAAATGCAGGAGACAGGAAGCTGGACTAGATGGACCTTTGGCCTGATCCAGCAGGGCCATTCTCATTTGCATCCTCTTCTTTTTACCAGGATACCAGCCTCTCAAAGAAGCACTGGATGCTGGGAAGAAGGTTCCTGGCGACTCCTTTTACGTGCGGGCCAACCTGAGCCTCCTGGAGCTTGCCAACCCTTACGCCTTGTGCGTGAAGCACTGGGAGATCCTTCACGTCACGGACACTTTGTACAAGGGGCGGCTGGAGTGGTACTGTGCCCGCGTGGATCCCTTCACCCTCCAGGACTTGGACAGTGGCACGGTACCTAACTACAGCAGGTAATGGGCCTCTGTCCCTTGGGTGTGATTTGATGCACAAGAACTTAAGTGGGCAGAGGGCTGCTTTGCATGCGCAAGGGATGCTTCCAAGGGTGGGATTCAGTCAAACTGGCAAATTCAGGCTGTGCAGTTATAGCCGAATGAGAGAATCATGGAATTGTAGAGCTGGAAGGGACCACGGGGGTCATCTAGTCCAACCCCTTGCAATGTAGGAATCCTTGCCCCAACATGGGGCTCGAACCTATGACCTTGACATTAAGAATCTCATGCTCTACTAAGTAAGTTATCCTTTAGGCAAGGGAGGCCTTATGCAACCACCACATTCCCTCCCACCTTGCCCTGCCTTGCCCCAATCATACTTCTTGCAATGAGGAAAGAAACTGGAAAATGCAACAGAAAGTGTGGGGTAACAGTTGAGGCAACATCCTCTAACCTCGGAATGGATGCTCAGTAAACAGCCACCTGTCATCTAATCTCCCTGCGAACAAATTGGGATGAATGATCAGTAAGCGGGTTGTCTGGAAGCTACCAAGGTCAATGCCTGGTATCTCTAGTTAAAAATGGGGAAAAGGACGGCAGCAGCGGGTGATGCAGCCGAAATTTGCCCGAGGCAGAATTTTAAAACTGGAGGGAGGGAGAGAAGGGTCAAGGGGTCACCTAGTGCAATCCTGTGCTTGAGTCTGGGAATCCAAAGAATTCAAGCGTTCCAAATGCTTGATGGCTGCCCAGCTTTTGCCTGAAGATCTTGAAAGACATACATTAGGTCCCAGTACGTTTCTGAGCACAATTTGAAGTGTTGGTGTTGACCTTTAAAGCCCTAAATGGCCTCGGCCCAGTATACCTGAAGGAGCGTCTCCACCCACATCGTTCTGCCTGGACGCTGAGGTCCAGAACCAAGGGCCTTCTGGCGGTTCCCTCATTGCGAGAAGCTAAGCTACAGGGAACCAGGCAGAGGGCCTTCTTGGTAGTGGCGCCTGTCCTGTGGAACGCCCTCCCATCAGATGTCAAAGAGATAAACAACTACCTGACATTTAGAAGACATCTGAAGGCAGCCCTGCTTAGGGAAGTTTTAATGTGTGACATTGTAATGTATTTTTTAATCTTTGTTGGAAGCCGCCCAGAGTAGCTGGAGAAAGCCAGCCAGATGGGCGGGGTACAAATGATAAATAATAATAATAATTATTATTTTTATTATTATTATTATTATTATTATGGGCAGTGAAGGAGGATCCCACCACCCTGCTTTGGCCATTGGCTGCCTTCTAAGTTGCTCTTAGGAGCACAGGGAACTTATAAGAAGTTAGGCCCACTGGAACATCTGGCTGCGTCTACATTGACTGGCAGCATCTCTCCAGGGCTTCAAGTAGCGGACATTTCCAGCGTTACTGGGAGATGATGGGAATTGAACGTGGGGCCTTCAGCATTCAAAGCCCTGCACTACAACCCTTCATATAACCATTCAACACTTTTCTCCTGATGCTCAGTGGAAAACTCCCTTCCTGTAACTTAAGCACATTTAGATGCAGTTGTGCTCTTTGGGCAGCAGAACCTGGAGAACAGTTGCTGGGCAAAATAGAGACCATAACAGAGATCTAGAGAGCAACTAATACCAAGAGATGGCATAAGGCAGCTTCTTAAGACTCCCCTCTATTTTTTTGTAGTTCAGCACTTGACTAGCACAAGGTACGGTGAGTTGTAACCCATAGATCTAAGCACCACTATGATATGTGGGTGCTGTAGGAGAAGGGTTTATAGGGGAACCCACAACTGGGGGGAGGGGAGGTTGTTAGTGAGTGCCTCCCCGCCCCCATTTAATTTCTTCTGGTAAACCCTTCCTCCTTTGAGGAATCCTAGCAGTTGGAGAACAGCACAAGAGCTTTGTAGAACATTCTGCCCCCTGAGAATTGCCCAAGTCTAGTCTGCAGGTTTTTAGCAGGATCTGCAAAAGCATCCTTGTTTAAACTAGGTTTTTAAAGGTATCTTGTAATATTTATGTAGCGTTATTGGATTAATTTTAGATGGACTAGGGTTTTGGAGTGCTAATTGAGTTTTATTTGGTGCCGTGCTTTTTATTGTGTTTCCATTGGATTTTTAGAGAAGGCTGAGTGGATGGCAGGCAGTGCTGGGTAAGGCAACAGAGGCAGAAATTTGGTGGGGGGCAACCAGGGGGAGACGCAGCCACGCTGCTGTTGCCGAGGCTGCCTGGGAGCTGTAGGGAACTGGTGAATCAGTGGATGTGAGCTGGGATTTGGGAGAACCGGGTTCAAGCTCTGGAATATCCATGTGGCCTTTCCTGGTTAGGATCTGTGTGCTGAGCTCACCTCCAGTATCATTAGAGATGAATGAGAAGAGAATTGTGTTAAAGCACTTGGAACAGAGTGGAAATAAGTAATGACCACACAGTCCTGTGGCATCTTAAAGGCTAACGGAATTTGCCATAATAAATGGTTCTTGCTGCAAAAGACTTAACACGGCTGCCCCTCTGGAAGTAATGATGTGTATATAAAAGCTCAGGCTGCAACCTTTAATAATTTAAATTAATTGGTTAGGGCCATTTTAATAGACTAAAAAAAAGCATCTCTGGTTTGATTGGGTGCTAAGTTTTTATTTTTTATTTTTTTTAAAGTTAAATGTGAGTTTACCCTAAACACTTGCAAAAACTGAAGGTGGCAGGCATATCTTAGAAGTGGCACCCCCCAACACACCACTTTCTTCACAGATGGCCCTTGCTGAAGCATAAGCACTTCCATCACCATGCCTCCCCTCACTTACATAAGCTATTTTGTAATTGTACGCACATTTATGCACATTTGATTTATTTTTAAAATCCATTTGATTAATTGACTTTCCTTAATGAAAGCCCAGTTGCTCCTCCCTCTTTCCAGTGTTGAATTCTACACTGAATTCCCCATCACTTTCCAAATTGCATTGTTTTTGTTAAACTGGATTTGTTCTGCTGGGCCGACAGAGTCCCTTAATCCACTTTAGTTGCACAGACCTAAAGTTCTGATGTGCGCTTGAATCCTGCAAAACGCTGACTGTTTGGAAGCAATGACAGTGTACCTCTGTGTCTCCATGCCTTGCTAAGCAAAACAGGAGCTGAGGCTCACCAACCTGGCTGTTTGTGAGGATGAGAGATATCTCAATATGCCTTCTTCACTAAAAAGGGCGTTGGGAATGAAAAAGGGCATTGGGAATTCCTGTGCCTCTTGAGAGCAGCTGGCCATGGTACTGCTCTTCTCTCTCTCTCTCTCTCTCTCTCTCTCTCTCTCTCTCTCTCTCTGTGTGTGTGTGTGTGTGTGTGTGTGCTCCCAGCAAGCTGGTTTTCAATTGCCGTCATCTTTCAGGGCTCATCAACTCTTGAAGATACAGGAGAAAAGTCAAGTGGCAGCCCAGCAAAAAGGCTGCAAGACTAAGGTAAGCTGGAGGTGAGAGAACAGGGGTATGTGTGGGTTGGGAAGAAAGGACCAGTGGTGGTATTATTATTGTTAATCATAAAAGTTCTTTTATTCCACTCTTGGAGAGCCCCCTTCTCCAAAAGCCTTCCAGAACAGCTTGCACTAGTAAGGGAGTCCCTATCCTTATGTTTGCAATCCAAAAGGAAAAGGGATTGAGAGGGAGCAGAGGGGGGAAAGCAGATAGAATGGTTGCTGCTCATTGGTGATTTTGGTATAACTCCTTGGCTCTTATGCCAAAGTTGTTGAGAGAGGAGGCTCACATTTGTAAGCTGCGCACAAGAGGAATTGTCTAGACTCAGTCCTGGAACCTGCAAATCAGTCAATCAATCAGTAACTGCCCTTCAGCCGAAGATCACTGGGCGGTTTACAGTATAAAAACATAAAATGATATGGTGCAGCCAGTGTCGTGCAGCAGATAGAATGAAGGGCTTGGACCACGGAGACCTGAGTTCAAATCCCCACTCAGCTACAAAACACAATGAGCAACCTCAGGCCAGTCAGTCTCTCTCCAGGCTAGCCTACTAAACATTCATCCCTGGGATGAAGGGCTGAATATGAATCTTTGCTAATAGTAATAAGAAGGTTCTTTCCTGCAACGTGTGACGTACCGTCAAGGAGGGAGTGCTTTTGAACATGCAGGAAGTACTTTTATCTCAGCTGTGGAGTGATCAAGTCGCACCCATCTGGAATTGCCATGAAAAGTCTGGCGGTCATAAGCCACCATGAGTGGCTGAAGATGCAGGATTGTGATGTTTTGGACCAATTTATAGGCAGAAGGGCTCTGCATTTTAGGAAATCATCGCAGCTCTTGACTTTGGGAGGCTCACCATGGCAAAATCCAGGGGGAAGGAAAAGATGAAGAGAGAAAACCCCATCCTGGTCTAAGCCTCTTCCCTTGCCCACAGGCTGCACAGCTTGGAGCAGTCCTCGGGTCCTACTTCCTGGCCTCAGTGTCTGGTTTCTTGGATGGAGTGTGTGAGTGGGTAGCTGGTTTCTTGCTGCCTTTCTCTCTCTGACACACAGCCTAGGCGAAAAGTGCTACACTTCCCTGTGTGGTAGCTGTTGTCTCTGCTGGTGCAGCGTTTTCTTAGGGACAGCCTTCCCTTATGGGAGATGCAGAGAAATGCCTTGCATTGTTATCTTGAGCTGTTTTCTCGAAGGACCCGAGCTTGCGAGAGAGGAAGGCTCTTAATTGCTGCTATGCCCTGCCTCACTCGGGGAGTTGTATCTCAAGGCACAGCCTATTTAACTTCCAATAATAAACATGTAGCTGTCATTTTGCAAGCGCCTGAGTGATGCATGCTTTGTTCTGTCTGTCTCCTTCCCCCCCCTCCCCTCCCCTCCCTTTCTCTTTGTTCTTTCCAGCTGAAGAAACGGGCCCTGGACCAGCTTCGCCTGGTGAAACATAAGCAGCAAGGGGGGCAGAGTGAGGAGGCCCCTTGGCAAGAGCTTTGCCCAGGTGAATTTGCAAACCTCTGCTCCCAACAGAAAAGAGTTGCTCTTGAGTTAACATCGGATAAGTAGCTCCCACGAATGGTCTACCTCCTGTGGTGTGAGGGCTCTCTACACAGGGGCAGTGTTTCTCTGTGTGTGTGTTTTGCATATTCATGAGGATTTGCTTGATTTATTCAATATGCAAAACACCATCCAAAGATCATAGGGTGGCTCACAACATAAAAATACGAAGTAAGAACCCAAAATACAAAGGAGAACAAAAGCAAACCAATAACGCCTTCCTCCCCTCAAACACATTTTTAAAAGACATAGAATGTTAATCAGTTGAAGGCCTGGTTGTAGAGAAACATATTCACCTGGTGCCTAAAGATATGTAATGAAGGCGCCAGGCGAGCCTCTATTGGAAGGGCATTCCACAATTTGGGGGGGGGGCTGCTGCAGAAAAGGCCCCTATGAACCTCTTGTGAAGGAAACACATGAAGAAGGGCCTCAGATTATTATCACAGGGTCTGGATTAGTTCATATGGAGAGAGGCAGTTGTTGAGGTACTGCGGTGCTGCGCTGCTTAAGGCTTTAGAGGTCAAAACCAGCACTTTGAACTGGGCCCAGAAACTAATTGGCAGCCAGGCCAGGATTGGCGTTATATGCTCTGACTGTTTGGCCCCGGTGAATTTATTTATTCATTCACTAATTTGTGGATACTCCACCCTTTAATTATGCAATCAGGGTGGCTTTCAATAAAATATACTTAAAAATAAAGAATAACAACCAATCTTGAAAATCATAAAAATGGGCCAGGATTAAATAGATCAACAAATGTTAAAAGAAAGAAAGAAAAGCTTTTAGCTAGGCACTGATGACGCATTTGAGTGGGCTCCAGGTGAGCCTTTCTCTCGGGAGAACACTCCATTGCCACAGTGCCATCACTGAAAAGGCCCTTACTTTGTTAACCACATGTTGATCTTGGAGAAAGCACTCTGATGATAACCTTAGAGTTGGATTATGTTGGCATCGTGTGCCTGCCAAAGAAGTGGGAACCATGGGAATCTCATTCCTTCCCTCTCGTTTTCCCCAAGATAACTACAGAGCAGGGGTGGGGGCCCCTTTCAACCCAAGGACCCAATTCCTTCAAGGGCAGCCTTCCGAGGGTCAGGAGTAGATGCCAAAGTGGGCAGAACAATGGATGTGATTCTTGCCTTTGCTGATTAGGTTACATCACAGCCTGGCAAAATCATTTGAGGAGGGTATCGCCTGTGGGAGGGGTATGTGGCCTGGCACAGTCTCATCGAGGGCCAAATGGAGAGCTGCATGTGGCCTCCAGGACTGAGGTTCCCTACCTTCCAGTAAATCATAGATGATGGTGATAGGCACTTGAATAAAGCTTGTGCTTTATTCGCTGGTCTTATTTGCTAGTCTTTATGGTCGGGTGGTAGGGATGGGGAAGCTGTGGCCCTCCTGGTTGCTATTGGACTCAAATTCCCATCAGCCTTGACCAGCATGGCCAGTGCTCAGGAATTATGGGAGCTGCAGTCCAGCAGCGCCTGGAGAGCAACAGGTTTTCAATCCCTGCTTCGTGTTGGGTCACAGGACTCCTTGTTCCACTTGGAAAATAAATAAGCAGGCCCTCTCCAGCCAGAAGAGGGCTGAGCACAGCTTGCAGGGGTCAAGGAATGGGGACCTCAAAGGCCCACACAACTCCCAACCATCACCATATTAAAGACATATAAGGAATCACTGAAGCCAGCAAGCCTTCCCTCGCTTCACTTGCTCATTGACACTGCCTTTTTACGTGCAGGTGGAACTGAAAAGCCCTACAGCCCAGTATGCCCTCTCGTGGTTCAGACCCGTCGTCCTGTCATGCTCTCACCTGCATGCTTAGCATCCCGTCTCATTAAGAACCTTCTGGCTCTCCCTTCCTCCCATCAGGACTTTTGCTCGTGCCCATCTGGTAAGCAGGAGAGGCTGAGTGATTTGACAATGGGCCGGTGGTGAAGCCGGAAACGCCAAGTGGGTCTATGTCCTTTATCCTAGCTCTGGACTTGCACCTTGAGACCATGCTAGGAAATGAGTCTCTGGTTTAATAATCTTTACTCCTACAGGAGTAAGCATTGAAAGTCTCCTTTTCATGCCTCTAGCTCAGAGTTGGGGTGATCCAGCCCTTGCAGAGGTTGCAACTCCCCATCATGGGAGATGTAGCCCAACCACACCTGAAGGATCACATGTTCTCCACCCTTGCTTTCAGCAAGGATCTTCCTTCTGCATCTTGAAGTGGGTGGGGGGTGACTTTTGACAAGACTTTCTGCCTTTTCCCCTTCCCTACCTGAGCCCCACAAAGGTAGGTTCCACACTTTGGGTGCAGGAAACAGAACTCTGAGGATCTCTATGGAAAGCAGAGATGGGAGACCTATGGCCTTCCTGATATTGTTGGACTCCAACTCCCATCAGCCCCAGCCAATGTAGCCGTGGCCAGGGATGATGGGAGTTGGAGTCCAACAACATCTAGAAGGCCACAGGTCCCCCACCCATGATGTAAAGAAGAAAACCCTCCACTGACCCATGTTCATGGCCCATAGTGTTGCTGCAAAGAAGGTTTGCTGATACGAGATTAATGCCTCCTAATGCAGTGAAACGTGGGACCTTGAGATTGTGCTATGATTCTTGTACCGTGTGGTGTGGAAAACGAGGTCAGAGCCAATAGATGGATCTAGAAAAAAAACTCCATTGGTCGATCCCCTCAACAAAACTACTGGGAACTACAGCGCTAAGGTCATAAAAACAAAAGACCTTGCTTCTGTTTTCCTTCCCTTGCAAAAGAAAAAAATAGGGCAATTTTTTGGGGAAAAGTTCTGCATTGCAACTTGCATGATTTACAGTGTCATCCAATGCATGTTTATTCAGAAATATCTCCCAGTGTGTTCAATGGGTTTGACTCACAGGTTAGCCTTAGGCTTCCATTCCCTGCACTCTTAACTGAAAGTAAATGTAGCTGAATTCACTGGGACTTAATTTTGATTAAAGAGAATTTCAGATTAAAGGTGCCCGCCTTAGTCTTTTTCAGCCATGGGCCGGTCCACCGTCCCTCAGACCATGTGGTGGGCTGGACTATATTTTTTTTTGGGGGGGGGGAATAAACGAATTCCTATGCCCCGCAAATAACCCAGAGATGCATTTTAAATAAAAGGACACATTCTACTCATGTAAAAACATGCAGATTCCCAGACCGTCTGTGGGCCGGATTGAGAAGGCGATTGGGCCGCATCTGGCCCACGGGCCTTAGGTTGCCTACCCCTGGCCTAGGCTTTGAAAGCATCCCTCCACCCCCCCATGATAACTCATGCTTATTGGCACATCTCCTCCAAGACCCATCCTTTTGTGGTTTTTGCTCCCTGCATTCACAGATGCCCCTCCTGACCAAAGACTCTCCTCTGCCTCCTCCAAGAATATTCTTATTGCTGATGGGATCTCTGAAAGCCAGAGGAACTGTGGGAAGATGCGCATCATCAAGGAGGCTATTGGAAAGGTGAGGACTATAGCACTGCAATTTCAGGGCTGAGAGGCAGGGCGAGACGAACGGTTATGCTAAATACGCCTTATGGAAAAACTCGAGACAAATTAGATTCCCCTTTTATTGTAACACTACCCAGGCAACTCTTTGTGGAGAGAGCTTCTACACTGCTACTCCCAATTACTAGACTATTAAAATTCCTCTTAGAGCAGGGAGTGTACTAGCGGCCATCTGGGGTTATGGGAAATGTAATGGCTACACTTTGGCCCTGTTTCCAGGGAAGGGGAATCCAAATTGTCTTCCTCTGCTTCAAACCAGTCCCAATAAGCTGTCTCCACAACTTCCTATGTAAGCTCCATGACTGCCATTTTGCATAATAGCTGTTCACATCCCATTTGTCCTCCTTCTCCAGAGAAGAGGGTCTTCTGAGTGCAGATCTGCAAGCTGGTGGGCTCTGCAGGTCTGTGGGGTGATGCTCTCCTTGACTAGCATGGGAGACCGAGTGTCCCTGAAGGTGAGTGTCGAGATCTCCTCCCACCCAGACGTATCGGACACCCAGCGTGCTGTATATCAACTGACCCTGCCCTTCAATTCTCTCTTTTCCTCACTGGTTTGGTTGTAAATCCCATCCTTTAATGGAATTACTATTGGAAAAGCAATGATATTTCACAGTGTAGGGTTTGATTTAATGTAACTTGTCAGGGACGGGTTATTTCTTTTCCATTTAAATCAGTAAATCTGTTGGATTTCCTTGCAGAACAAACACTGCCTGCTGGAGCTGGAGGTCCAGGTGGCGAGGGAACTAATTAAAAGTGAAATATACCCCATCGTTATCCATGTCGAGGTCACAGAGAAGAACGTCAGGGGAGTCAGGTATGAAAAGCCCTTCTCAGGATCGACACGGGTTGCAATGCAGATGGGAAGAGCTGGCTTCAGATGGTATAGGCAGTCCGGCGCCCCCTGCTTTGACACAGCTCCAGATGAGAGCCCTTCTTCCTCTAGCTGAGCCTGCTGGAAGAAGCACCAACCTTTCCATTGTACTTAGACCCAGCTCCACGCCCTACTAAATTACCACCTGGAGAAGGGCAATAGCTCAGTGGAAGAGCATCTTCTTTGCATGTAGCACGTCCCAGGTTCACCCTCTAGCACCTGCTACTAGGAGAGACCCTGTCTGAAATCTGTGTTGCATGCACAGTCTCCCAGGTTCAGTTCTTGGCATTTCCAAGTAGGGCTGTGAGATAGCCCTGTCTGAAATCCTGGGAAGCTGCTGCCAGTCAGTGTAGACCGAGCTAAATGGACAAATGGCCTGGTCCAGCTCGCTCAGTAGAGGATGAGGCTCTTAATCTCAGCGTCATGTGTTTGAGCCCCACGTTGGGCAAAAGATTCCTTCATCGCAGCGGGTGGCACCTGTGGTCCCTTCCAACTCTACAATTTTATGATTCTATGAATATAAGGCAGCGGACTGGGGCATTGAACTGTCTAAGGAGATGTAGCAAGCTATGCTTGTTGAAATTTCCTCTTCTGTGCTGCAATCAAAACTGCAGGAGCCATGTCCTCTTTCTTGCTTTGGCAGCTGACCACCCTAGAACACAGGTGTCTCGCAGTGAGAAGATGAGTAGAACAGCTGACAAGTTTCCCTGAAAGACAATTTCCCTATCTGTGTTGGTCCTCTCCCAAACTCCGTAGCCTCAAGGAAGTGTTTTTAGGGAACTATTCTCATTCTGTGCAAGAGGACAATAAGACCCAGTAGGCTGAGCCAATATTCTGAATCAGCTAACTCGGGGGACCATAGAATTGCAGAGTTGGAAGGGACCATCTAGTTCAACCCCCTACAATGCAGGAATCTCAACGGAAGCATCCGCGACAGGTGGCCATCCAACCTCTGGTTAAAAACCTGCACCTTCATTGCTTCAGTATTTTCCTGCAACTCCTTCACAAGCAGTGCTGATGCAGAAAGCTTTGAAAAACCACCACATTAGAAGCCATATAGGTAGTTGCACCCATTTTGGTTTTCTCTATATGGATTGGCAGTGGCTCTTCACAGTTTCGGACATGCAGCTTTTCCTGGCCTTGGGTGGAGATTGAACCCAGGGACCTTCTGCACGTGAAACAAGTGCCCTACCACTGAACTGCGCTCCATCCCCAAATACACTGTGGACCATAAGGTTTCACCGGTTGCCCAAACTCTCCTTTGGGCGGTTACAGCGTCTGCTGAATTTTTTTAAGCTCCTTCTGCAAAAATCCTGAATGTTTTGCTTCAGATGGGAACGCACGTGGACTGTGATTTGTGACATCGTCCTGGTGCAGGGGGCGGAGGAAGCTCCCAACTGGAGCGTTTGCTTGGCGGTCCATCAGTTCTTGGGATCAGACCATTAGACTTCAACATGCTTAAGCTAACATGCTTGACTTAACCCATCTCGGCGAATGCATTATTCATAGCGTCTCGAGGAGTCTACTGATGGCATGTTTCTCTGCTGTGCTCTTCCCTCCTAGGAGCTGGTTGGGGAAGCCAGGGCTTCGCGACTCGGAGGTGCTGAAGCAGTGCCGGAAGGCCAAGTGGACTCTGCACACTTTGCCGTGCTTGGGGGCCTGGGTGGATCCTCACGCCTGGGCCAGTGCGGAGGAGCTGGTGAAGGTGGTGCGGGCCCACGTCTTCCAGGAGCAGACCAGGATTGTGTGGGTCGAGGAGAGGGATTTGTGATGGGTGTCTGGAGGTGTCTGCAAGCAGAAAAGCCTCTGCAGGACAGGGGCTTCGATCCACGACCCGCTGATGATGTTCTGGATCTGTGATTCACTCCAGATATCCTACAGACATAGCCCATTTCCTTTGTGGTCCAGTCGTTCCCTCAATTAGCCCGAGAACGGGAAAAATGTGCCTCTGCATTTCACTGCTTCCAGTATCGACTCCACTCTCCCAGGCCCTTCCTCGTTTCCTGTGTTCTCTGTGGCTGTTGTCTCTACCTCTATTCACATCCTGATGGAAGTATGTGTGTGCGTTAGGGGGGGATGAGGAGCCCTCGCACGCACGCACATGGACATACATTGTCCCCTTAGCCAGAGGGTCTGTGAGCGGGCAGGAGAGACACCCTCTGTGCCCGCCACTTTCTTGTGCCTAAATTATTGATGGACCCTTATTATCGAAGACCGGAATATGGAAAGAGAATTAAACAGCATTAACAATGGAAATGAACGACTGGCTGCTTCTTGAGTTCGCTGGGAAGGAAGCACATTTCCAACTTGTTCCTGGTTGCCTGCCTCTGTCTCCACTCCTTCCTTTTTGCCTAGTAATAATATTTATTGTTTATACCCCACCCATCTGGCTGGGTTTCCCCAGTCACTCTGGGCGGCTCCCAACAGAATATTAAAAACACAGTAAAACATCAAACATTAAAAACTTCCCTAACCAGGGCTGCCTTCAGGTGTCTTCTAAAAGTCAGATAGTTGTTTATTTCCTTGACATCTGATGGGAGGGCACCACTACCAAGAAGGCCTGGTTCCCTGTAACCTCACTTCTCACAATGAGGCAACCAGCAGAAGACCTTCGGAGCTGGGCCTTGGTGTCCGGCTGAATGATGGGGATGGAGACGCTCCTTCAGGTATACTGGGCTGAGGCCGTTTAGGGCTTTAAAGGTCAGCACCAACACTTTGAATTGTGCTTGGAATTGTGCACAATTCTTGAATTGTGCCTCTTTGCCGTCCACCTGCTGCCTCTTGTGTGGCTAAAGGCACAAACTGTAAGTAGGAATCTGCCTTATACCAAGTCGGACTTGCAGTGTTGTCTGCACTGACTGGTGGTGATTCTACAGAGTTTCAGGCAGGGGTCACTTCCAGCCTTACCTGGAGAAGCTGAAGATTGAAGCTGGGATCTGCTCGCAAAGCAGATACTTTACCAGTGAGCCATGGCCCCTTCTAGGAAAGAGTGGCTGTCACTTCTATTCCTGGACAACTTCCTGTTCCTCTTGGATTCATTCCCTCTCAGTCCCAAGGTTGTCGGCAGAGGAACAGCTGTAGTGCTTTGTCAGAAACAAGAGGTTGGGTCCACAAGGGCCTCCAGAAAGTCAGCTGTTGCACTTATTCAACAGAGGCTGTCTTAACTTAAATCCCATGAGCTGGGGTTGCCAACAGGGTGCCCTCCAATTATAGCTCCCGTCATCCCTGACCATTGGCTGTTCTGCCCTAGACTGATGGGGAGTTGGAGTGCAATAATGCCATGTTGGCTGCCCCTTGATGTAGGATGACTTGCTAAGATCACTCGGCCTTGAACTCTTCCATCTTATCTTTTCCCCATGGGCATGGGGGCCAAGAATGGGGTGGAGCGGAAGAGGGTGAAGCGCAGTAAATGAAATGCATGGAGGGGGGAGAGTTAAGAGCTACCATGAAGAAGTCAGCCCCAGCTGGCTTTTGGTACATAACAGAGCTCTTGGCTTACCTTCTGAGTTGTGTTCTGGAGAGGATGTGACAGAGAGAGAGAGAGAGAGAGAGAGAGAGAGAGGTGGTCTGCTCCCAGAGCTTGTCTTCTGTTGCTTCTAGGGGCCCACTGACATGTGCAAGATGCCACAAAAGTCTGGCAGGTGTTAGTAAAGGAGGGCTGTCGAAAGCTGGTATAGAGCAGCTCCTTAGACTCTTCCTGAGTCAAACCATTGGCCCTTTTAGCTCAGTGCTGTCTATACACTGGCTGGCAGTGGCTCTCCAATATGGTCTCTCCAAGCTTTACTTTCCTGGCCTGAAGAAACTCAGACATTGTTTTGGCAACCGTATTTCACTGCAGGAATCGCACCCCACACTGTTTCTCTTCCCTGTGTTTGTTTCGGAACCTGTTTCTGATGCCCACAATTTCTTCTGGGGCCCACTTGCGGTGGCTACTTCTGCATTTGTACTTTACCAGTTCCTTTCGCGCTAGCGGCCTGGTTCCCTGTGTGGGTAGAGCTGGGTTAAAGGAGTCTTGGGTAAATATTAACCCTGCAAGTTAATTTGGCCTGCCGCAGAGCAAGGGCAGCTACAGGCATGTTAGCAGAGGAATGCCATTTGCCTCCTCAGGCAGCTATTAGAAGGGTAGTAAATACCTTGTAGAAGTCCTGTAAAGAGTCATTTAATGCAGCTGCATTTGGGAAGGTACAAAGCGGGGGGGTTGCTCTGTAAAGCCATAAAACAAAAGGAGGAGAATATCAACAAAAACACCACCAAAAGATGAAAAACGGCAGCAAGGCTAAGATAAGCATTAACATAACACAGTCCTATGCATGACTTGTTGTAAGGCATCTTTTAATATTCCTAATCATAATTCATCTCAGTTGTAGCCTTATAGACCATTGCAGTTTCTCCGAATTATCGATTTAGAATCGAACCCAAAGATATGGGTGTTCTGAGAACAGGGATTAGATTTATGTTTGGACTGCGGACTATGACTTTCTAACACTCTTGTACAGACGGGCCTTTCAGGCTTATAGCCAGTCCGTTTCATAGGTTCAAGAACCCCAATATATTGGGATACAAATTGCTGGATAGGAAGGGGGGAAAGGTTGCTTGCCTGCTGCTTGTGTTGAACACATCTGACCTTGGCTGTTCTGGATTCCCTCATTTTCAACGCCTTGGTTGGCAGATTGAGAGCAGCACTTATTTTTTATTTTGTTCATCTGTTTAAAATATAAATATCCCTCTTTTTTTAATTAGGTGGCTAAGAAATAGTAGTACAAATAAAAACGTCGGTAAAAACATCTCAGCGTTGAGTAAAAATGCAGGCTGGATAAGGAACAAATGAACCTATTGGATTATAAAACAAATCCTTTAAAAGCCCAGCGGAAAAGGAACATCTTTTAAAAGTCGACAGGATTGGACTGTGGGAAAACTAGTGCTGGGGATATAGAAGAAAGGGTATTGCTTTTTTCCAACTGAGCTTAGCACCTGTAGCAAAGGGGCTTTATGTGTGTCCTCTTCCACAGCTGTTGAATGGTAGGGAGGCTCCTGCAGTGCCCATGTATTACAGAGCCTTTTCAAAAGCCAACATGTTGAATTTTACCTGGATGTTAATAGGTAACTTGTGCAACTGATCAGGCTGAACACTCACATGTGTCATTCGCCTTGTGAGGAGTTGGGCTCTGACATGCTGCACAATTTGGCCCTGCCAGACAGCCTCCAAGGGTTGCTCCGTGAAAAGTGTCTCCTGGCAGCCCATCCTTAAAGACACAGAAACATGAATGATGGTAGCCAGAGCCTTAGTGGGTGGGTTGGAAGGATATTAACTGAAGCAGTAAGAGAGAGGAGGCCAGATGATTTTGTGCCGGGAGAGTAATATAATAATAATTTATTAAGCACCTAAACAACTAGGTGCTGTACAATCAATGAAGAACAATAAAACAAATGGCTCTGCCAACAGGCTCAGTGTCTGTAAATCAAATGCGGGGCAGACATGGTAAATTATCATCGGAGTAACACTGATGGCAGACTTGAGCAGGCTGCTGGCCTCAAGCAGTCTCAAAGCAGCATAACAGCTACAAATTCCACTGGAGGCAGCAGGGACATCCCACCATTTTGTCTGGGTCCAAATCTTAAGAGGGTTGAGGGCTACCATGTATGGTTCTCTACATCATTCTGGGAGTCTCCTGTCACACTGGGCACTCCAGGGATCTGTCGATGTTTCTCTTTAGCTGCTTTGGTCAGAAAACTGCATGTGAAACGAATGAGGGGGGCAAATCGACCCCCCCTGTGAGGAAAGGTTGTGGCATTCAAGACAATTTATTTAGCAGAAAACGAAGTAAGAGGTGACACGATAAAATTACACATGGCATGGAGAAATCAGTAGAGGAACATCTTCCTCTCCTTTTAATTTATTTATTTATTTATTTATTTATTTGGTTTTTCAAATTAAAATTTTACAGAGATATCTCAGACATAAATCATAAAAACAAGATTCTAAGGAATCTCCTGGACTTCCATTCTCTGATATTAATCATTTCCTCCTGCATCTTTTATGATGATTCAAATCTTTTACATCTCCATTGTGTCCAGAATTCACCCTTAAACTACAAGTGATATTCCAATCCTACTAACGATTTTAACTGTCCTTAAGATAAGTTACAAATTTTCCCCATTCCTTATTAAAATTTTGGTCTTCCTGATTTCTGCCTCTTCCGGTTATTTTACCCATTTCAGCATCGTCCATCCACTTCATTCTTCTGTGGTAGGAACTGTATCTTCTTTCCATCTCTGGGCCAATAACATCTGTGCAGTCACCAGCAGCCTTCGGGAACATCACTAGCAGGGTTATCTGAAGATTTGTAAGATGAAATTGCTACCTATTCAGGATGAGTAATGTAATAACTTAGGTAAGGATATAACAAGAATAGGAAGGAAGTGAAATGCAAGATGCAAAATTTAAGTTTGTAAACCATTAGGCGGGAAGGAGGGAAGTCGTTAGGCTCAGTTGAGCCAAAGAGATTTAATAAGAGGATACGATGCTACACAATGTGATTATATGTAAAACTAATAAAAATTATTATAACAACAACAACATCTGTGCAGCCATGGTATGCGGCCAAGGCAAATTTTCCTCTCATATAACGCTAGAACCTGTGGACATCCAATGAAGTTGAATGTTAAGAGGATTCAGGAAAATGCTATGGACTATGGAACTCATTGCCACAGGAGGCAGTGACGCCACCAACTTGGATGGCTTCAAAAGAGGACTGGACAGATTGTTGGAGAAGGCTATCAATGGGTACCAGTCATGATGGCTGTGCTCTGCTTCCACAGATGGAGGAAGTAATGCTTTTGAGTACCAGTTGCCGACAACCGCAGGAGGGGAGAGTGCTATTGTGTTTCAGCCCTGCTTGCAGGTTTCCCACAGGTGCCTGGCTGGCCACTTTGGGAACATCAGTTCTTCCTTGTATAAAACTGGGTCAAACATATGTTGGAAATGTAAAGCAAAGGAAGGGACCTTTTACCATATGTGGTGGGAAAGCAGATAAATTGTTAAAAATTGGGAAATGATATACAATGCGTTGAAGAAAATGTTTAAAATGACATTTATTTAAAAAAACCCCAGAAGCATTTTTATTAGGGATTGTGGGACAAGACCTGTCAAGGAAAATAAAGAATTTATTTATGTATGTTACAACAGTGGCAAGAGTCTTGATTGCACAAGGATGGAAGAATGAGTGGCAGGAGAAATTGACGAACTATGCAGAACTGGCG